GTTGATCTGTCTCTTCTGGCTAGAATGTAAACTCCACAAAGGGCAGGAGCCTTTGCCAATTCTGTTCATGTCCCGCATGCTTGGAACAATGCCTGGTATATCCTAGATGTTCAGTTGCTGTTTGTTGAATGAATATGTGACTGAATTAATGAACAGACATGTGTTAGGAGAATTAAATGAGCTATCCGTAAGTTCTTGAAGGCTGGTGCATTCGGGGGACATATTTTAGCACAGATTTAGAGCCAAACACTTACCAAGCACCTGGGAATGTGTTGGGGAGTATACTGTAGACTTTAAGGAAACTGTTTCCTCATTCACACAACAAATACATACGAGTAGCAGGCACTGTTCTAAACTCAGGATAGAAGATAAAAACAAACAAATGTCCCAAGTCCTGGGCCCAGTAGTGCCGGATCCTCTGATCTTTTTTTTTTGAGGAGAAGCTAAAACCTGAATTTTTATATGAAATCTCCCGATTTTTAAATATTGATAACTAACTTAGAATTTTTCAAATTTGCTATAACAACCAAATTAAACATTTATAACAATCAAATGTTGCCTTTGGGGCTGTAGCTTAATAATATCTGAAGAAGTCCGAAACTTCTGGCTGGGCCTGTGGGATCTCCCAGGCTGGGCAGGATTTGGGTGAGTTGTGAGGTCACAAGGAGGGAGGAAGATGTTTCTGCTACTGCCTGTCCCCAGAGCAAAGACATGGACGCAGCACAGCCGAGCGCTGGGGCGTGGGGGGCATGATGGAAGATTATCAGTATGGGCCACAGTCTCCCTTGGGCCATGCTGCGTCATCCTTTCTAGGTTAAACCATTGCATTTGTCAGGACGCAGGTCCAGCTGCCTGAACAAGACACAGTATTGCACAAGATAGATGTTTGTCTCTGTCACAGTCTGAGCATAAGCAAACTGGAGTGCTTCCTTTCTCTTCTTGCTTTGCTCTACCTCGGGCTCCTGACCTGCTCGGCCACATTCCAGCCAACAGGAAGGGCCAGGGTGGGTGGAGGAGACTGGGTCCCTTTCTCTAGAGGGCATGATCCAGACTTTGATCCCAGTACTTCTGTTCACACCCCACTGGCAGGGCTTGGGCACACGGCCACGTCTAAGGCCAGGACAGGCTGGAAAATGTAGGTTTTTACTTGGGCTATAGATCAGCAAAAAAATTGTATTTTTCTACTAGAAAAAGAGAGTGGATATCACAGATATCAAGCAGTGTGTGGCATTTGCTCTTCTGGATCTCAGGGTCTGTGAGGTCAGGCACCTCTTACAGTGCCCTCAGTTTTTTGGTTTTGTTTTGTTTTTAAGATTTCTTCTTCTTTTTTTTTTTTTTTAAGAGAGAGAAGGGGGGTGGGGCAGAGGGAGAGGGAGAGAGACTCTACAGCAGACTCCCCACTGAGCCTGGAGCCTGACGCGGGGCGCAATTTCAGGACCCTGAGATCACCAGCTGAGCCGAAATCGACAGTCAGACAGTTAACTGACTGAGCCACCCAGGAGCACCTGCCCTCAGTTTTTTAAATTATTTTAGCGGATCCTAGTAGCACCAATGGAAGGTGATACTCAACATGTATTTTTTCCCTTTTAGATTCTTCTGGACCATACTATTTGTGTTTAGATTGAAGTCACGTGGCGAGATTTTGTTTTGTTTTATTTTCGTAGTTGGTCTAGAGCAGTGTTTTTCAAATGTCTTGGTCTTGGGACCCCTTTTCACTCTTAAAAATTACTAAGGATACTAAAAAACTTTGCTTATGTGGACTATATGGATTTATATTTACCATATTGAAAATTGAAATGGACATTGACAGGAATATGCAAATAAGCATTCCATTAACTTGGACCCTCTAGAAGTCTCCACTGCAGAATTGTGACACACTGATAGTAAAGGAGCAAATAACATTTGAGTGATATTATGAAAATAATATTGACCTTGCACACCCCTTAAAAGGGTCTTGGGGATCCTGTACCACACTTGGTTAGCTACTGGTCAAGAGAACATAACTGGTTATGTTGACTTGGGTAATAGTTGGTGTTGAAACTGATACATGCTAAGATTAGAGGTTAAAAAACAAATTAAGACAGGACCACTGCCATTGAGTAGTTAATGGTCCAAAGAAATAAGTCGACCGACCAATCTATAAACTTCTTTCATCTTAGATTTGAGAGGAGTTGGTTTCTATTTCTGAATTATAAATAAATTTATGTGTGGGCGTTAATAGTGATGGGTTTGCATCTATGGCAAAGTAATAAAATCTGGGGTTCAAGATATATTGAATTACGCATTTTGTACATTCAGAAGCTCATTACAGAGAAGTTTGTTTGAGTCTTGTGCATGCTTATCATTGTTTTTGGCCACCCAGGCCTGGCCACCTGGTACCTTTTCTCACTGGGCACATCCCACTGCCTCCTGTGGAAGGGTCAAGTGCTGGGGGTTTGCATTTTTCCGGTGCCAGGCTGCGGGCATGTGACCTAGGCTCTGAAGCCACGCACCCTCATCCCATACTTTGAACTAGAAACTGGTGACATCAAGCCAAGATATGGCTGCTGGTGATGGTGCTGGAAGCTGGGGGCGCCCCTCCCTATCAGACCAGTGCTGCTGAGTGATTTGGGGGGGTGTTTCTGGATATGTAGCCTCCAAGTCCCATTTCCCCGGCCCTCCTGGAAATCTGTGATCTTTCCACTATCCTGTGAATTCAAGAGTCAGTGCCTTCGCTTGCAACTAAGAACCCTGCTTGATGCATTCCCAAAGACAGCATCTCTGCAAGTATTGTTTGGAAACCTCGTGTATCAGATTTACCTGGGCCCCATCCTAACCATCAGTGCCCATTGGTGGGCTGACAACTGATGGATTCAGATTCTAGGAATCTGCATTTTAAATAAGCCTCGGGCTTGCATAACTTTTAGATACAGTAAAATTTAAGAACCGCTGTTATAATGTTTTTAGTTTTAAAAATTATTTGTTCTCCACTTAAGGATCTGAGTAACTCCCCCAAAATAACTCTAGGCTTTCACAAGACCCTAGTCAATGACTAACTAGTGTTCCATTGTCCCCTTCCCTCCCTTCCCCCCACCCAGCCCCAAATTCGCCATAAGCCTTTTTGTTCTGTCTCCTTAACTGTTTTAATGTCTTTGTTTCTTTCTCTTCCTTCCTTCCTTTCCTCTCTCCCTGCCTTCCTTCTTTTCTTTCCTTTCTTTCCCTGGTTTATTTCTTCTTACTGAGGACTGGTAATTCCCCAGATGAGGTTGCCTACACTCTGTGACAGCAGAACACCAGAATTAATTAGGGCTTTAAGCTACACTGTGACTGTGGCACTCCCCAGGTAATTTCTTTCCCAGCCATTTCTGCAGCCTGCAAGCTTAGATCTCCCTGTTTATTCCAGGCATCACTAGAGAGGGTGAAGCACATGCCACGTGACTTTCCTTGGAGGGTTTCTCTGGCATGGATTCAGGCCAGAGGAAAAAAAAGGGAAGGGTTGAATGATCTACATGTGAGATTTCTAGAATCACAGAATGCTGTGATCTGAATGAATGAATGTAGGTTAAGCCCCTCTTGTCATAAATGAGGAACTAGAGAGAAGATGTGCCCAGCATCACATAAATGATTTAGTGGAGTAAAAGGCCAAAATGAATTTAGAAGAAGTGAGAAGTGGTGAATGCAGAGCCTGACCTGAAGTAGCATAAGAGAGGAGACTAATTAATATTCATGGAATGACTATTTGAACTTGGGCACATTCACGTAACCCTGGGCCTCAGTTTCTAAAACTGCAAAATAAGGATTTTAATAATAGCTGACACGTCTATAATCTTGACTGTGCTAGGAACTATTCCAAGCACTTCATATGCTCCCTGATTTCATCCTTATCACAAAGATATGACATAGGTCATATTATTTCCCCCACTGTCCCTTGCACATAAAAAGGCCATATCACTTACGTAAAGTCTCACAGCTGGCATATTTGTTTTCTTGTGCTGCTTTACAAATCACCACAAGCTTCATGGCTTGAGCTACCATACATTTATTGTCTCCGAGTTTGGTGGGTCTGGAGCCTGGGCCCAGCGTATCCGGGTGCTCTGCTCAGGATCTCACAAGGCAGCAATAGAGGTGCTGACCAGGGTAAGGGTCTCATCTGAGGCTCGGGGTGCTCTTCCAGTCTCACATGATTACTGGCAGAATTCATTTTCCTGTAGCTGTGGTATTTATAGCAGCTGAGTCTTCAAGGCCATCCGGAGACTGTCTGTCTTTGAAAGGCCTCCCCTGATTAGGCCAGGCCCACCCAGGATCATCTCCCGCTGGTTAGACAGCTTAATCTGTTTACGACATCTCTTCATCCCCGCTGTGTGACATAACGTAAACATGGGAGTAGTATTCCATCACCTTTGCTGTGTTCTGTAGTTTAGAAGTCAGTTACAAGTCTCCTCCACACTCAAAGTGGGGGGGGGGCGGTTTACACAAACCCCTGGATACCTAGGGGAAGGAGTCGGTATTATTAAATAAATAAATAAATCTTAAAAAAAAAACAGAAAACAAAGAAATGGGGGGCCTGGTCTTATAATTCTGCCTTCCACAGCTAGTAAAGCTCAGCCTAGGCCCAGACGGACTCCAGGCGTGGGAGTCCATGGCCCCAGTGTCCAAGCTCTTCACCGTTAGGATCTGTCTCCCTTTGAACAAAGTAAACCCACTTTATAACCTTGCATGGAGTTCTGAGTAAGAAAACCCCCAGAAGACACACTGGGTGCTAAGCAATAGGGTTTTTCTCATCACACCCCTGCTTTAAAAGGTCTGCTCTTAAGGTCTGCTTTTAACCACCTGCCGTTGTGTATTTTCAGGAAGAGATTTCCAAAGTCTCTCTAAAAACTCAGGTTATATAAGTCATTTCGATGTGTTTATATTCTGAGCCAGAAATAACCCTGGGGTTTGAGATTTGAGACTCGCATTCTCAAAAAAAAAAAAAAAAAAAAGATAAATAACTGTAGCTCTGCGTTTTGTCTTTGAAACAGATGAAGTGATTGAGAAGAAACAGTGAACACCTTCGTTCTGTGGAAAGGACAACATGGATCAGCCATTTACTGTGAATTCTCTGGTAGGTAGCACCAACGGATACCTTACATATGGCCTGAAAACCCAGAAAGAAGAACAGAAACATAGCACATGTGAAATGAGTCACCGTTACTTCACGAAGTTGAGCACTTGTCGCTCCTCATCCATCTGCGGGGTCCTCTCCTTTGAGGAAGTGACTAATAAAGCCATCTTCACTAGAGCTAAAAGTAATTCTTTTTGTCCACAAAAGTGTGAAATTTTAATCTCTCTGGTTAGATTCCAGGAGTGTGGGGGAGAGGAACTTCAGAATTGACTTTGTAAGCAGGGACTTCAACCTCTTTGTGCTTCAGCTTCTTCATGGATAAAAATTGGAAGCTTCCCTTGTGTGGTAATGACCGAAGGAGACGTTCTATATACAACACGCAGATGTTACTTTGGGATCCAGCGTAAATTTCCCCACACTTGAAACTCTCGTTCTTCTCACTTTGCCCTGTAGAGCCCAACACGGTCCATGCCTTCTCTGGCTACATCTTGGAAGGAACAACATGCCCGAGACAAAATAACAGGAGGCCTGGGATCACAGGGACATATTGTGAGTCCCAGATCATTCTCTGGCACATTATGTAACCAACATGGCCCCATTTTTGTACTTTGCACATTACGACAGTTGGGAACAATATTTTTAATGTTCCCAGCCGATCATGGGATCTTGATCAAGGGAAGCTCTCACGACTGTTAGCCTTCTCCTGACGACCAGCAGTATACTGAATACCTGCACTCGCAAAGCTTTAGCCCCAGATCACAAGGAAATGGAGGGGGCGCCTGGGTGGCTCAGTCGGTTGAGCTTCTACCTTTGGCTCAGGTCGTGATCCCAGGGTGTTGGGATCAAGCCCCGCATTGGGCTCCCTGCCCAGCGGGCAGCCTGCTTCTCCCTCTGCCGCTCCCCTTGCTTGTGCTCTCTCTCTCTCTCCCTTTGTCAAATAAATAAATAAATAAATCTTAAAAAAAAAAAAAAACCAGACAAAAAGAAATGGAGGGCCTGGTCCTTGCTCTGAAATAGGTTGTGACCCACGCCCTCCTTGCCAGGAATGTCCTTCACAGATGCTCAGTTGCTCTGACAGGATGAGGAGCGGAGAACTGTGGGAACTTCTTCACTTCCTGACCTCATGCTGTCGGGGCACTGTGGGGGAATAAAGGCAGCCCCCTTTCCCACCTGCAGAGGAAGGGATCATCCTCTTGGCACATCTTAGGTGTTTTCTAGAACATTAGGTAGCAATGATTAAAATGTTAGTGGACATGTCACTGTGAAATGAACACTAAGGCTTTTTCATCTGGAGATTTTGCATTTCGTAAGGTATCGCAAACCCAACATTATAGATCTATGAAGACATGAGGCTCTTTCCCCATTTACTTCTGAAATCACTTTTGAATTTGGGAAGGATAGGACCATTCAGGAGAGCGAAAACAAATCTTACTTTTACTTCCTGGTAAAAAGATAATCCAGTTACAATCACATTGCACCTGTTTCTCTCTTCCTCTTTTATTTGGTACATGTTTTGATTATCATCTGTGCTGCAAAGAATATGCTACATCCTAGGGAACAGGGATGGATGGACACTGCACACAAATAATTATAATTCAGTGCAGACTGTACAGTAATAAAAAGTGGGCAAATTACTTTTGCACATTCAGGAGCCTGGAAGCCCTCTTTGGAAAAATGTGCTGATTTCCATAGTTTTTTTCCCCAGTCATTTTCTGACGTCATTGACGCCTTCACCTGTGGTCGAATAGCAGCATTTTCCTTGAGGGCTGCTGGGCGCTCTGGGTGAGGGAAGGCCGGGCTGTGGCTGCCATGTCCCGGGCTTCTCCCTTGGACAAGATGGCACACACTCAGGTCTGAGGCTCAGATGTCAACAAGCTTCGATTCCTGCTTCGGAGGAGGGGAGGCCTCCAGCAGCTTCTCAGAAATTAGGAAGTCTTTTCGAAAAGGAGTGGAGCAGCGTGACAGGGTTTGGCTAGAAGGAAGTGTGCCTTCATGTAAGGTGAGGTCACTGAGGCGGGGCTGGGGGTTATGTTCAGGCACACCTCTCTGTTCTCAGAATTCTGGACCAAGGGGAATTGACTGAAGATGCCAAGGTCAAAAATCCAGTATGTGCTTTATTCTTTATCACTTGGCCCTGGAGACAGACTCTGGGAGACTGGTAAGTCTCCTTATCCCTTCCACTCTAAATTGAACTGGCCACCCAGTTGCGGGAAGGATCGCTGGAGACTTCAGCACCGGGAAGCCCAGGCCCTGAGAGCTTCCTCTTGGGAGAAGGAAATGGGGAGGAGAACAGGTTTATGCCTCTCTGGCTGGTTATAAATTTCACCTTTAGAAACAAGAATCAGGGCACCTGGGTGGCTCAGTGGGTTAAGCGTCTGCCTTCGGCTCAAGTCATGATCTCAGGGTCCTGGGATCGAGCCCCACATCAGGCTCCCAGCTCAGTGGGGAGCCTCTTCTCCCTCTCCCTCTGCTGTTCCCTCCTGCTCGTGCTCACTCTCTCAAATAAATAAATAAAATCTTAAAAAAAAAAAAAGAAATAAGAATTGTTCCAGGTCTCTAGGGTTCTCTCTGTTACAAAATTGCCACCACAGTGGACCCCAGGGCATCGGAAGATTCATTGCAGCCTGCCCTGACAGCTTGGATCCGTCATTCATGGCCAGACTAAAACCATTCCACCTGGATTTCTTTTTTAACTTTATACAGACCTTTTAATCAAATGCGCTGCCCTTGACTGACGGAGGCAGACTCGGGGAGCTAAATTTGCTCTGGGCTAATTCCATTCCTGTTGATCAAAGGTTGCTAGAGGGGTCTAAAGCAGTGTTTCTCAAACTGCAGCATGCATCAGTGCCTCTGGGAACACCAGCTGAAACATGGGTTCTTGAAGCCCGCCTCCAATCTGTAGATGCCAGGGGAGGCCTGTTGAGAATTTATACTTTTCTTTTTAAACATTTTTTTTTAAGATTTTTTTTTATTTATTTGAGAGAGAGAGAGAGAGAGAGAGAAAGCAGGAACAGGGGGAGGGGCAGAGGGAGAAACAGGATCCCTGCTGAGCAGGGAGCCAGACACAGGGCTCTATCCCAGGACCCTGGGACCATGACCTGAGCCAGAGGCAGACACTTAACCGACTGAGCCACCCAGGTTCCCCGGGAATTTGTGCTTTTAAGAAACTCCCAGGTGATGCTGATACTGCTGGGGTCAGCAAACTGGTCTGAGCGCCAAAGTCACCTGCTTGTTTTGAAAACATTTTTGAAAATAGAGCCAGGATCATTTGCTTACATGTTGTGTGTGGCTGCTTACGCATCGGCAGAGCTAAGTAGTTGTGAGGGGACTCAGGGCCTGCAAAGCCCAAAAGGTTTGCTATACGGCCTTTAACAGAAAAAAAATTTGTTGACTTTTTTGCCTTTCTGAAGCGCTGAGCTTTTCATTGAATCACTGAATAATTATCCTGAATGCATACGTTCTGTGTTTTCCCAAATGGTTACGGATACTATTTTTATGAATAAAGTACAAATGTATGTCTTAATATCACTGACTTTTTCTTAGTAATGATTTTCATTATTTTCTCAATCAGGGACTAATTAACCGTGCCTGTTAATGTACTATCATTATTATGTGCAGATCTAAGGGTTTTTTTATGTTAAGAAGAAATAGGGGGTATCCTTGAAAAGGACTTATTGGTGAGGTTTCATTCACTTGGTGAAGAAACAGGTCCTAAAAGCATCTTATTAAACTGGATACATTGTGGAAGAGAATTGAATCCTTAGAGTAACTCTTGAATGCAGACCATCTCTTGGAGACCCTTCAGAGGAGCATGACGTGAGCCCTCCTCAGACAAGAGTCCACCTGCTGGACTGCTTCACATGAGCTGGAATGGAAGTATCCATGAGGACATAAGGGTCAATGATACTTTACCTAAAATGACCTAAAGCATTTGCATACCCAGGAACTGCCACATAATTGTACCCTGAACCCTAAAGGAGATTTGCCCCCAACACAAAGGTGTGTTTATCCTAGAGAGGCATGTCTTCTTGGTGTCTGGCCCATGTGTTTCTGCACAAAGATTGCACTTCTATGGTATCATTAACTCTTAGGAAACGCTTTCCTTAGGGACTGGTGTCGGGTATTTAGTACAGAAAATACACCTGTAATTTCAGTCCTGTTCATTTCTTGTTTCTACTCAGAGATTCAATTTTTGCTTTGCAGAAAAAGTTGGCTGCTATGCCGGACCATACGGATGTCTCCCTCAGCCCAGAAGAGCGAGTCCGTGCCCTCAGCAAGCTCGGGTGTAATATTACCGTCACTGAAGACATCACCCCGCGCCGCTACTTTAGATCTGGGGTAGAGATGGAGAGAATGGCGTCGGTGTATTTGGAAGAAGGAAATTTGGAAAATGCCTTTGTCCTTTATAACAAATTTATAACGTAAGTCTTTTGATTGGGAGGTCTTCGAAATGGGAAAATATGTACGTGCTGTGTTAGTGAAACGGTTTGGACTTCAGGGATATTTTCATATTCAGACCAATTTTGCAATCTCCACAAGCATTAAATGTCCCACGTTTTTAGGTTACCAAGTAATGTATTCAAAGGCATCCCCACACCATCTCTGAGGCTCAGGCATGGAGCAAGCCTCAGGGACGTGAACAAGTCTCTCAAATAGCCCCGTGTAGTGACATGCATGTGCCTGTGTTTGGCACTCTTCACCAAGAAAATGTCCTGTTTTATGCTGTCCTCCCCCCACAGGAATGTCAGCTTTGTGAGAGCAGGAACCATATTGCAGCTCCATCCACAGCGCCTGGAACAGACCGTTAACGGTTTTAAAATTTGACTTGATGGGTTGGGACGGGGCGGTAAGTTGGCAGTTATAGGAAGGATCTGATTCAGGGGTAGAAAGTAGCAGTTTCACATTGTAGTTAGTATTTTTTTTTAAGATTTATTTATTGATTTGAGAAAGAGAGAGAGTGGGAGGGGGCAGGGAGAGAGGGAGAGAGAATCTCAAGCAGACTCCCTGCTGAGCTTGGAACGTGACATGGGGCTTGATCCTAGGATCCTGAGATCATGACCTGAGCCGAAATCAAGACTTGGCCGCTTAACCGATGGAGCCACCCAGGCGCCAATAGTTAGTATTTTTTAAAAAGGCAATTTATTGGGGCGCCTGGGTGGCCGTCGGCTAAGCATCTGACTTCAGCTCAGGTCATGATCCCAGGGTCCCAGGATCGAGCCCCGCATCGGGCTCCCTGCTCAGCGGGGAGTCTGCTTCTCCCTCTGCTTCCCCCCCCCACTCGTTCACATTCTCTCTTTCTCTCAAATAAATAGAATCTATTAAAAAAAAAAAGAGGCAATTTATTTAGCTGTGTAATAGTGCTGTGTATAAAAGAGCTTCCAAAGTGTTGAGTGAAAGCAGCTACCTGAAACCCGTACTTTTAGCTTAATTAAAAGTCACATGATGATTGACTCCCTCGTTCACTTGGGGACTTTTAACCTGAGAACATCTGAGAAGTGGACAGTTGGCAACACTCAGCCTACATGCGGAAACCACTGGTTTCTAGAGAGCTAACAATAAATACGAAATCGGAAGCCGTTGGGTATCACTGATAGCACACATTCTCCAGAAACTTTAATTTCTGAATCACCAGTTGCTAATATTTCTGAATTGCCTTCTGCTGATGTTTTTTTGCCCACGTTCCTGTGGGGTCGTAAGTGTGGTTAAGCGAAAGACCACTGCACTGTCCACATTATCGAGTCACCGGAATGTTGGAGTTCCCTTCTCTCATGAACCACGTGACAATTCATTATTCACGTATCCCCTGTGGGCCTCAGTTCCTCATTACAAATGGAAGACGTAGGGGCAGAAATCTCTCTTATCTCCAAATAGAAGATTTCTCTAAGCTGTCTTCAACTCCAAACATTTGTGACTTTATTCTATTTATAAAGAATAGCTACTTTAGGCAACTTACAATTTCTGTAGCCTCTTTAAACCATAATTTCCTCATTCAAGAAATGAGTTATTTTACTATCCCAGTGTCCCCTGTAGGCCACAAGACGAGAGCATGCATGATCTGTAAGCGAGAGGACACCAATTATTATAAGGTATCACGTATTAGTTGATCTTAAATAGTATTTATAGCCCATCATGGTCTATCAAGGAAGGACTTTTCGTTATTCAACAAATATTTACTGAACACACATCATGAGCTGGACACTATTCTAGCTGCTAGGGATACATCAGTAAGAAAAAAAGAAACCCAGAATTCCCTGTCCTTGTGAAAGCAAAATCTTCATTTTACGTGGAAGTGATGCATCTGGTTTGGTCTAAGGATTTCCCTTTACCTCTGCTGTGCCTTGTTCCTCAAAAAGGTGATGAAAAATAATGAACTCCTAATTAGCACCTCCTCATCCACTAGGGATTCTGACTGTCATTTCTCTTAGTTGTGAATTTTCAGTTAAGAGTTTCTGATATCAGGGTGCCTGGGTGGCTCGGTCAGTGAAGCGTCTGCCTTCAGTCAGGTAACGATCCCAGGGTCCTGGGATCGAGTCCCGTGTTGGGCTCCTCGGCTCCTCCACCCCGTTCTCCCTCTCCCTCTCTCTCACACACACATAAATAAATAAAATCTTTAAAAAAAATAATTTTTGATATAGACACAAAGACACCATGGCACTCCTGATTCATCAGTGGTCCTTTGAGTCTTCTTCAACGGTGAGAAGAGATTACATTGATTTTCCTAAACTCTTTTTTTTTAATTTTTTCTTGTTATGTTAATCACCATACATTACATCGTTAGTTTTTGATGTAGTGTTCCATGATTCATTGTTTGTGCATAACACCCAGTGCTCCACGCAGAACGTGCCCTCTTTAATACCCATCACCAGGCTAACCCATCCCCCCCTCCCCTCTAGAACCCTCAGTTTGTTTCTCAGAGTCCATTGTCTCTCATGGTTCATCTCCCCCTCCGATTTCCCCCCCTTCATTCTTCCCCTCCTGCTATCTTCTTCTTCTTCTTTTTTTTTTTAAACATATATTGTACTATTTATTTCAGAGGTACAGATCTGTGATTCAACAGTCTTGCACATTTCACAGCGCTCACCATAGCACATACCCTCCCCAATGTCTCTCGCCCAGCCACCCCATCCCTCCCACCCCCCACCACTCCAATCTTCCTAAACTCTTAACATTTTTACATGATCCTCTGTGTTGCCAGCAGCATTCGTGAGTGAGATAGTGCTCTGGCAGATCGAGCACCCAGGACCTGAGAAGGACCAAATTGACATGGTCTCTTAGGGAGCATCCTGACTCTCTTAACCTCAGCGCTCAGTCCACAGAGCTTACTTCCCTGTAATGCCAAAATCAGACTCATGCCAGCCCTTGGTGGAAAGGCTGATGGAAAGAATATAGGTTAAATAATAATGTATTAAGCACGTCCTTTTTGAAAAGGAGTTTCGTTCTTGTATTAGAAACCTTCACTGACGGGGCGCCCGGGTGGCTCAGTCGGTTTAGTGTCTGACTCTTGATTTCAGCTCAGGTCGTGATCTCAGGGTCATGAGATCAAGCCCCGCACAGGGCTCCACGCTCAGCAGAGTCTACTTCTCTCCCGCTTCTTCTCCCTCTGCCCCTCCCCCTGCTCATGCATGCCCTCTCTCTCTCTCTCTCTCTGAAAATAAATAAATAAAATCTTTAAGAAAAAAAGAAACCATCGCTGAGCTTTTTCTGTCATATAATGCTAAGGATGTGCTTTCTCTTTTCCTAGCTTGTTTGTAGAAAAGCTTCCCGGCCATCGAGATTACCAGCAATGTGCAATCCCAGAAAAGCAGGATATTATGAAGGTATTGTGGGGTGCTAGCCTATGGCGTAATCAAGTTTTTAAGGGTAAGCGGTGGCTTGAAATAGTCTCAAGGAAAAGGAAGATGGTTGCTGAAAAGTTCTGAATTCACCGTCAATCTTGGCAACCGATGGAGCTTCAGATATTTTCAGCTGAGAATATATATATATATCCTTTTAAATAACATTTTTAAAATGTTTCCCACGTATCTGTGTTAAGTAGTGTGGGTTGATCTTATATGGAGGAAGATAAAACGGTATATACAAAGCCATGAAATTTTAAGTAACTTTCCAGAGATGCTTGACCATATAATGGATGACAGGCTCTCTTACCAGTGTGTCTGGCCTGAGGCTGCCTGTACGAACTCAGATTGTGTCAAATGGTCATCTACATTTGTAAAAATTTCTATACACACTTACCTGAAGGGGCACTCACTGCCATGCCTTGTGTAGCCTTTCCACCAAATTCTCTTGTTCATTCAAACTCAGGCTGTTCTGTGTGTTCTGCCCAGCTGACTCTTTTGCTCTGATTTAGTTTTATTCTTATTTCTTCTCATAGGAAACCATTCTCCGAAAGTATATACATTTTCTTTGTTTACGCTTGTTGAATAAATGGATGGGTGGGAGGATGGATGGATGGATGGATGGATGGATATAGATGGATGGATGGATGGATGGATGGATGGATGGCAGAAGATTAAGAGAAAAGAAATTTTAGTGGAAGAGCCTGGCCAGAGTCAGATTTGGATTCTAGTCATAATGGGGCCACTAGCTAGTAGTACTTCTAATCTCTATAGGCCTTTGTTCCCTCATCTCTGAAAAGGAAGGTGGTACTTGGACTTAATCAGATTTCCCAGATTTTCTGTCCATTAAGAAGAATCACAGAGAAATTGTTTGAGATCCAGATTCCCCAACCCCTTCTCTAAACATGTTGATTTCAGGGGAACTGGGAGGAGGCCTAGGAATCTATTTGTATACAAAGTGCCTCAGCCTCTTTTATGCAGTCAAGCCTAGCAATCCCTACCTACTGTTTTCTCCAGCATCGCTTCGAACTATGATGCCATAGCATTTGCATACAGAGGAATGTGTAGTTACAAACCCACTGCTTGAAAACAGGGTACCTACCTAGATGGAATGCTTATCTAACCGAGTCGATTGAGGTCTTACGAGAGGGATAATGCTTTCCCTTCCCTATTGAAAATTTGTGTTTTGGAGCCATAGCAAGGAGAGGTTTATATGTCCACCATCATCTTTGGTTATTTGTGTCTTGATTTCTAATACACATACAAGCTGTTTTTCTTTCTCAGCTGAAAGACTATACTGAGACTCCCACTAATCAATATGTATATATATATATTTTTAAAAGAAACTGAAGGAGATTGCATTCCCAAGGACTGATGAATTGAAAAAGGACCTTTTAAAGAAATATAACATAGAATACCAAGAATATTTGCAAAGCAAAGTAAGTTCAATTGGTACATTTATTTCATGACTGTTTTCTGTGCAAATATTTTTTTTTAATTTCATGTTCATGTGAGTTTTTCGAATGGCTTGTGCATTTAAATTAAAAATTAAAGACGCAGTGATGTAAAACCAATAAAAAATTCATGTTGATATACAGGTTAAGCGCTTGCACCAAAGATGTGGTATTTTTATTACCCTGCAACATCTAATCATGTGATGCATTAGAAAATAAACTTCCCACAGTGATTTAAATGGAGCTTTTTGACCAACTCTTGCCACTATAACCTTGAGGCAGATGACTGCTCTTTGGTGATGAACAGAGGCAGTGGGACATAGGGAGAACAGTATATAGTTTCTGATTTATCTTATTATGCAGGCCTTGGAAATGTGAATTCGATTCTTCAATCTTACAGTCAATATTACATTGAGAGGGAATAATAGCTAACCATATGAGTGAAATGTAATCGTATCACCAATGGATGGTGGCTTCTGCATCATTATTACATAAAGAGTGACAATGATAATGATGTCTAAGAGATTGAATGGCATTAAGAGAAAAAATTGATCTTTAGGACCTCAGGTTCAAAACTCAAACTCTTAATGTCTTTAGCAATGTTATAAAAATCGCTTTGCTTTTTTTGTTGGACTGCGTGTTTATGTGCTTTGAAATTGTCACCTGTGCTGGCTCTCGCTTGAGTTCAGTCTCATGAACTCTGAATGTGGCCCCGGGAACCTCCGGGCTTCCTGTGGGCGTAGCTGGAAGTCAGGGTTGAGTGCGGCGTTTTGACCAAGGGACAGAGGGAATGTTGAAATCCGAACGTCCCCTCAAGTGCGGCTATGGATGATTTGGATTTGACTTGAACTATGTTAGATGAGAAGGCTCTTGGGAGGTTCAGACAAAGCAACGGCAAAGGAGAGAAAGGCCCAGGCCAGTCTTCCTTCCCATCAGCAGTGTGGTCGTCGCCTCAGGGTCTCCCAGGGAGGGACAGCCTGGTCTGCCTTTGATGACACCAATTAGGTCCCAGTGGGCAACAGTGTCCTGAAGTATATGTCACAGAGAAATCCGTGTGGAGATAGAGTGGCAGCCTTTATGCCTAGGAGAGATGGACATGCCCATCAGTAAGCCCTTGCTATAGGCAGCATGGGCATCATCGGGAACTTGTTCAAAATGCAGACTCTCAGGCCACCCCCCCACTCCTGCTGAGTTGGAATCAGCCCTTCTGACGAGACCCTGGGGGATTCGTGCGCACCCCCAAACTGCTGTCATAAGCTGTGTCCCCCACCCCGCCCCTCCCAAAGTGACTTTTAATTAAAACCATTTGAGGAGCTTATTAAAGATTTATATTCTCTGACCTAATAATGCCTGGATTTTTTTTTTTTTTTAAGACTGGGGAGCCTGGGATTCTTCATTTTAACAAAATTCCTGGCTCGTCCTGATGGAGATGATCGGACCCCATTTTGAGAACCGTTTCCTAGGGGTTCCCCCTTCTCCGTAAAGTTCTAGCAGTCTGAGTTCTAGAGTCCAAGGCTAGAGGTTCTAGGGCAACACCGGCCAACAGAACTTCCTCCCATGGTAGAAATGTTCCGTGGGGAAGCTGCCAGCCACGTGATACTTAAAAGGTGGCTGGCAGGACTGCGGAACTCAATGTCTAATGTCATTAGACTTGAATTAATTTAAACTTAAGTAGCCCACAGGGCTGGCGGCTACTGTATTGGCCAGTGAGGTCTAGGGTGATAGAACCGTTCCCGAGATATTTCGCTCTGGTTATCGGTGAGGCAGGCCACGCCGCCAACCGTGACCTTGATTTTCTAATATTCTTCTAACGCGCAGGGGAATGGAGGGGACGTGACTGTCACGGCTTGCCCCCGGTAACATAATGAGTGGACATGGAGCTGCCGCCTTGATCAGACTAAGGGGCTCTTGCCGTGATGGTTTCTTATTTCCCTCGCTGTCACCTGCGTGTCCCTGCGTGCGCACCGCAGCGTCTGTGTCTCTGTCCTTGGCGAGCCGGGAAGTTAAGTGTCTAATCCCAGTTGGCTGGCGCCTTTTCCAGAACAAATACAAGGCGGAAATTCTCAAACAACTGGAGCATCAGAGCCTGATCGAGGCCGAAAGGAAGCGGGTGGCTCGGATGCGCCAGCAGCAGCTGGAGTCGGAGCAGTTCCTATTTTTCGAAGACCAGCTCAAGAAGCAGGAATTAGCCCGGGGTCAGATGCAAAGCCAGGAAACGCCGGCGCTGGCGGAACAGATTGACGGGAGCGCTTTGTCCTGCTTGTCTGCGCAGCGGAACAGTGCCCTGCTGAATGTGTTCTCAGACCAGCCTCCTAAGAGCGAGGCGGCCCCTGATGCCAAGCCCTCTCCTCCCATAAACCGGGCTTTAAAGCCCGCGGCCGCTCTGAGCGCCGCCGTGCACAGTAAGTGATGGGCGCCCTGCGTGCCAGGCCCGGCCTTGCTTCTGACCGAGCCTCCTTTCCGCGATGGCTGGGACGGGGCTCCCCTTCCCATTATCCGCGGTGGTAGCGCAGCGGCGGGGTGTGGTGTGAATTTCAGTGCCATTCGGCTTTCCCGCGGCGGTAACCTAATGTTCAGGCAGCACGATTTAACCGCCCCCCCCCGCCCCGCCCCCGGAGAGCAGCGACCCTCTCATAAACGGGCCCTATGTGGTCATGGGGCCAGAGATTTGAAAAGAGAATTCCGAGCATTTTATTTTTCTTTCCTGTATTTTCACCAAGAAACACCTGAATCTTAAAGGTGGACAGACACTTAAACACTGGAAAGAAGATGCCGAGAAAATGGTTGGCGCAGACCTCGGCTTAAAACGTCAATGTTTCACCTTTTCCTGCCCCAGGAGGGTCTTGCGCACACAGGTAGTCAACCTCCAGGTGGATTATGTGCTTCTGCCCACAGTTAGGGCTGCTCGGGGGCGGCTCCATCCCCACTGACAAGTTCCCAAATCCAAAGGCAGACCCTGTCGGATGGCGTCTTGTTTCCATTTATTTTAGAAAGAGTTGTGGTAGGCAACCACTTTATAAATTACCCCAGCGCGAATTATTCCTGAAAACAGTACTCTTATTTAACCATTACCAACTTCCATAAAGACATAAAGTAACATGTGGAAGACATAGTGAAGAGCATCTATGCTATGTCTTAACGGTCTGTGAGATACATGTTCTGCAGCCTCAGCACTTAGCAGTGTACTTGCTTTGTGCTGCAAAACAAAACAAAAACAAAACCCTCACACATACGTGTAAACAGTTGATCTAAGGTGTAAAGGTGTTAAAGTGCTGGTGCCTCCCCCCCTTGTTCATGAAACAATTTATAGGCAAAGAGGAATTTTACCTTCCTTCTCGTTGATGCTTACTGTTAAAGGGTTTAAAAAAAAATACAGAAAGTGGAGCACCTGAAAATTTCATCTTTTATGTTTCGATGGCCCTGCAGTTGCTTGCCAAAAACAGCTCTGATGGATGGGATGTAAGATTTGTTTCTTTAGCTTGTTCTGCCTTTCCTGTTTCTTAGATTTAGTGGTCGAAGGACTGCGGTGTGTAGTTTTACCAAGAGACCTTTGCCACAGATTTCTGCTTCTGGCAGAATCTAACACACTCAGAGGAATAGAAACCTGTGGAATACTCTGTGGAAAACTGGTATGCCCTTTGTTTCATATCTTTCTGCCCACGATACATTCAGTCATCGTGACTTTCTCATAAGCAGAACGGAATAAACGCATCCTAAGAGTTGCAAAAATTATGAGGTTATCTTTACCTAGATTAATGAACACAAAACCACTGTCATTATTCGTGGAATGGTCCTTCCAGGAAATGGGTTGTAAAATTTTAGGGATACCGTAAAAGCTTGTTGTAAAGAATAAATCAAACCACATGCTAAACCTTTGTTTAGAAAAATGACGGTTTAGGGGTGCCCGGGGGGCTCAGTCGGTTGAGCATCCAACTCTTGGTTTCAGCTCAGTTTATGATCTCAGGGTCGTAAGATCGAGCCCCGAGTCTGGCTCCGTGCAGAGTGCGGAGTCTTCTTGAGAGTCTCTCTCTCCCTCTGCCCATCCCCACCTGCTCTCTCTCTCTCTCTCTGTCAAATAAATAAATAAAATTTAAAAAAAAAAAAGGAAAAATGATGGATTATAGGTCTCCAGATTTCCAAAGCCGTCTAGTTTTCTAAATCAGATTTCTATTGCAATTGTTAGTTTCCCATATATTTATCTAATTAACTCCCTGTTCTGATCCGAGGCAAGTGTCATCTCACCACCATTTTGCAGATCCATATGGAATAAAACTAGGGTTCTGTTGTTGTTGTTGTTGTTGTTGTTTTAGTTGCAGACAGTAGTTTCAACAAGCTGAAATCTTACAGCACAGGTCCTATTTACGTATGGAAGATTTTATCAGAAATCTGTGATGAAACACAATGTCAAAATAGAAGGAGGACCACAGAGAGAAGATGCATTTAATTTGCTAGTTGCAAGAAGGATAAATAATGTCTTATGGAAGGTGCCCTTTACAGTGTCACTTGGGTCCAGGTGCATTTTCCACCCTAAACATTTGGCTTGGGAACTATTGCTTAATCAAATACGTTCTATTCAGCACACATTGTCCCTACTGTATTCCCGTTCTGCATCTTCATGTGTCCTCTAGGAGAGAGGAAGCACAGGTGACCAACACAGGAGTGTGACCCACCCTGTGCTCCCCTCAGCCACTTGTTTGTCCTTCAGGGGCAATGTGCTCTGGATGCTTCCTCAAGACCATATGTGGTACCTAGTTTGATTGACTGATGGAGTCATTCATTCATTCTTCACTCATTCCTTCATTTGTTCCTTCATCCGATGGACATGTACTGAGTACCTAGATGTGCCAGGCACTGCGCTTGGTGTTGGCATTCTGTAGCCTCCAACAGCCATAGTCTTTTCTCACATGATGCCTCTGAAGAACCAGCCAGATGACTAATTCTCAGTGGGGCAGGAAAGCCCTCAGACCAGAGAGAAGGGGGTGTTTGTGGAGGGTGGACAGTCCCTCCCAGCACCAGCATCTCCTCCCTGAGCATCCTATCACCTCTTCTCAGCCCCCTTCCTTCAATTCTTCCCTTGACCTGAAGGGAGTAATGTGTTTTTCCTTTTTTGTTTTCTAAATGCAAACCCAAAACATCACCTCAGTTATGGAAAATCTCAGTGAGTTCCCCCGGTGGCAGGAGGAAATTTAGGTCTGGACGTGAAATGAAGTATAATTAATAAAATAAAAACGAGACCATCAACCTCCACAAACCTTAGAAATGTCCCTCAGTAAAGCCACAAAACCATTGAACTAGTATCTCCCCCTCCAAATAAGCCTGCTGCTATTTTGTTCGGATTTTTTTCCCCTGTAAATGTAGTATATCAAGACATTATTTATTAACTGAACGATCATGGACCAGCCCGGGATGCAAACTCCCATTTGTTATACATTTTCTGTTGTGAAAAGAGGTTTTGAGGTCCAGAGAGCTACCTCTCAGCTTTTTGGCAAATTATCTACTTTTAAGTGTGAGGCTTTGATTTTGAGGATGCGGGTGGTGGGGCACTCTCTAGTCTTACAGCAAAACATTGTACTTCCAGCTCAGGCTGTGGGTTTTTTTCTCCCAGATGCTTGTTATTCTTTTTGCTGATTGTTTTTTAGACACATAATGAATTTACTATCACCCATGTAATTGTGCCAAAGCAGTCTGCAGGGCCAGACTACTGTGATGTGGAGAATGTGGAAGAATTATTCAGCGTTCAGGACCAACATGGCCTCCTCACATTGGGATGGATCCACGTACGTGTGACCTTTGGCTTTCAGTGTATTTTCCATGGGGTGCTGTTTTCCTCCTTGAGGAAATTTAGCTTCCTTTAAACCGTTTCTTCTTGATTTTTTTCAGGTGGAATAAATGTCATCATATTAAAGCATTCTCTTCAATGTTAGGCCATGTCTAAATCTGTCAGATCTGGATTTGGACAGGGTTATATTATGCTTTTTTTTCTTACCATCCAATGTTAAAAGAGAGAGAAACATTTGGAAATTGGGTGACTTGCTTTGATGAGTTTATATAGTCTAATGGAGACCTAGTCAGATTTTTAACTAATTCGATGAGCCCATTATTAATGTTCTCTTTCTCTTTGCCATGGGTCAAAAGTAGATTGTTTTAAGAAAATTTCTGAAAATGTTTCTTTGAAACAGATGTTTTTATATATCAAACAGGAACCATACATTCTTCCGCATCTCCCCTACAGGCCAAGGAGGAATTTATCGCTGTACAAACAGCTATGGTGGGGCCAAAAATATTGGGTTCCAACATCCACTGGGCCATCATAGGAGCGAGAAAAGGCTTGGCATGAATTAAAAGACATGAGTTTAAATCTCAGTTCTGCTAAAACTTCCTTACAGGAATGTTGGTAAATTATATAAACAATCTGGGCATCAACTTTATCATCCATAGAACAGATGTCATAATAATTGACTTCCTGCAGTGGTCCGCAGTAAATGAGATAGTGCCAGTGAATTTCATGACACATTTTTCTAGGAACTCAAAAAATGGTAGCCATTGGTTTTGGTGATGATGCTCTACTTTTCCTGTCCATGGTTTAATCTGTCTGGGGAACATTTTTCCATTCAGTCTTATACATGTGGACCTGGGGTAGGGACAAGTCATCCCACTATCATGGGATGATGCCCAAGATTTTCAGAGAGAATGTGGAAGAATTCAAGAGCCCTTGAAGAGAGACTAGTGGCCATTTTTCATTTTACTTGCTTTATAAGGATGCAGTAAGGAGGGGCAGGACACACACTTAGATGGCCCCGTCCCTCCCCACACACAAGATCGGCAAGCGCTTGGTGTTACATAACTTCAGAGGTAGAAGAGGCTTTAGTCCCAGCTCTACCTAAGTTCCTTTTTTTTAAGATTTTATTTATTTATTTGCGAGAGAGGGAGAGAGCATGAGCAGGAAGACGGGCAGAGGGAGAGGGAGAAGTAGGCTTCCCGCTGAGCAGGGAGCCCGACATGGGGCTCCATCCCAGGACCCTGGGATCATGACCTGAGCCGAGGGCAGACGCTTAACCGACTGAGCCACCCAGGCACCCCCTCCGCCTAGGTCCCTATGTGTTCTTCGTCACTTCCTTGCTTCCAGGTGCCGCACTGAGCAGCTGGGGCTAATGAGTGCCCTCCTCTCTCCCTCACTGGATTTGTGTGAGCCGTAAACAAGACATCAAGAGTGAAAGCCCTTTGAAAAATATAAACCACCTCTCAAACGCAAGAAATGATTTATGAGGAAGAGTTGGCAAAACTTTCCATATGTCTATTTGTTTTACTTAACAGTAAGTAATGTGCCTTAGTGGGTGCTTAGAAATTGCTGAATTTTAAAAGCGCTCTTTAGTTTAATGTGATTTTCTGTAACAGGAATGTATTTTAAAGCAAAATAAATTGTAGCAAAGAAATTATAACACAAACTGAGAAAGAATGACAGTCCATTATATTATACTTACACCGAAGAGTCGATGTTAGTTTATCTTATAAAACATTTCCCAAATTAAAAACAGGTTTTCCCTTTATGACCTGTGTATATAATGTATGCAATAGTGAAGTTAAGTCATTTAGATGATGAATTTGGCAAAATTTTAGAATTCCGGGATTTTGCTTTTTGTTTATTTCACCATGGCAAATCATTTTGGTTCAATGCAAACCCTAAAACATTGTATTTCTAAATTTTAATGGTTGCATATGACATTTTGTGATTTTTTTTTTTATCGAATAATAGTAGCAACACATTCCAGAGCTAGCTTTTTTCAGATGTAAGCTAGTCCTAGGAAAGAAGGGCTGAATCAGAATCAAATAGGGCTAGGTTCGCATGTGGACTTAGCTTAACTGGCTCCCCGCACATCGGCATTATTTCCTCTTGTGCTTAGCTCAGTCTTCTCATCTGTGAAATGGACATGGTAATAGCACTTTTCTGATGTTGTTGTAGGAGTTGAATGAGGTAATGCGTGGGAGCTGATTCGCTCAGTGCCTAAGCGAATGGCATCTGCAGCCATCATCAATCATCATCATGGTCCTGGCCATGGTCATGGTCATTTTTATTTCTATCGAGGGGGTGAGGTGGGAGCGCCATTCTCCCATGGAAGAGCTGTTATTATCTGAGTAGCAGTGATTCCTCCTGGCAGAAATGTGCATTCAGTCTGCAAATAAATGGACAGGCAGAGTGATTTGTCTCTTTGACAGTCTGCTTGCTGCCTCCACAGCGCTGGAGTCCCACTGAGCAATCCGTACTTTCTCACCGAGGCATAGACGGTTCTATGCAGTAACAGAAGGTTTGCATTGAATCAGATGAACAGGCAGTCAGACCCTCCTACTCATACCCTCACTAAAGCTTTGGGTTTTAAAAGGTAGGATAATTTCCAGCCTCAGTTGACCTACATCTTTGAGACCAAGACCAAGAGTTACTTTTTCCTCACAGAATATGTAACTTCTGTAAATAGATATCAACAACTTTTACTTTCATTCTGTTAAATCTGTTAAATAAAGTGGAAATGAGTTGTAATATCTTGCATTTCTTTAGCAGACCATAGTTAAGTGTAAGGGCATGAAGCCATGCCCTTTAGTTAATAATGACGATATTGGGGCACCTGGGTGGCTCAGTTGGTTAAGCGTCCAACTCTTGGTTTCGGCTCAGGTCACGATCTCAGAGTCATGAGATCAAGCCCCACATGGGGCTGTATGCTCAGCGGGGAGTCTGCTTGAGATTCTCTCTTCCTTCTCCCCCTGCTCCCTTCAAAAACAAAAACAAAAACAAAAAAAACAATGATGATATTAAAATAACAACGGCAATAACACAGGGAATGATTTTGATTCCTTTCTGTGCTAGGCACTGTTCTAAGAATTTTACATGGATTGTCTCATTTAATTTTAATGTAGCAACCCCATAAAGAAAATGATTACTGTCCTTATTTTATAGCTGATGAAATGGGCATGAGGGGGTTAATCTTAGTATCATACAGCCAGTGAGCAATGGGCCCAGGACCCAGACAGTGCATGCTGGGGACCTTAGTTTCATGCTTAAAGTGGTCACATTCCTTTTTCAAGGGTAACTGGGGTTGACTATGAATTTTAAAATCATGCTGGGTGCATGTATTTTTCATATTCAAGTGTGAACCTCTGATCTGTCTCTCATAAACACAAGCTTGTATATAGCCAAAAACCTGGAAGATACATCTTTCGATTTATAATCTCCCATTCCTTCTCATCATATGGGTATTTACTCACTGTGGAAGATGAGTCCCAAACGCCTCCAACAACTCGGAGAATTCTGTCCTCCCATTTGTAGGGAATGATGATCCACGAAAGGACACACAGCACAATATGGTAAATTCATTGAAAGCATTCCTTTTGTGTCCATGGTTTTGTATAGAGTATCTCTGTGTTTCCAATCACAGCTGTGTTCCTGACCAGCTGTGTGACCACGGGCAAGTTACTTAAAGGAACCTCGGGATCCTGTGTGTGAAACTGAGATGCTAATAGGAGCATCCCCTAGCTGCGTTGTGATGAGAACAGTTCTGTTTGTTCTAATAAGCAGAAAGTACATGAACACTTCCAAGAACCTCTTCTCAAAGTCGTGGTTATTCCCAAGGTGCATGAGGGGAAGGATTATGTCAGCGACACATTTTTTTAAAATCCTGATTTGATTTTAATGACGGTAAAAAAGAAAAAGCCAGTTACAAGAGATTTCTCTTCGAATGGGCTGTGGCCTCGGCTAAGACAACTCCTCCAATAAGATTGTCCTCTTTTCTGTCTATAGACACACCCGACCCAAACTGCATTCTTGTCCAGTGTTGATCTTCACACTCACTGTTCCTATCAGCTCATGCTGCCAGAGGCTATTGCCATTGTTTGTTCACCAAAGCATAAAGAGTAAGTGTACCTGTGGACGGGGTCCAAGTGAGGCGTTGTCTGGGGCTGCTGGGTTCAAGTGCGTCCACGTGGCAGGTGGTGGCTCTTGGATAGGCAGGCACCCGGTGCCCTTGGGAAGCAGAGATTGGTGCCAGCCAGCTCCCCTTTCCCTATAGCTCAGCAGTCTTTTGGTTTTTAAGGTCCTTTCATAGTAGAATTACTGGTTCTCTTTACTTAGTGAGCATGATCTCCAAGTGGATAAACTGGATGTTATATCAGTTTGCCTTTTGAGATCGTGATTCTCCTGTTGTAAGAAAATTTCCAGCCTTAGCTTAATGACCTCCAAAGCCTTTCTAGGTTTGGGAGACAATGACTGTGAGAGAGTGATTATGAGCAGAAGAGTCAAACTTTGAGTGGAATCCTGCCTCCAGCCTCAAATGGTGTGTGACTAGCAGGATACCTGACCACTATGAGCCTCAGTCTCTTTATCTCTGACACCACCCGTCGGGATCGATGTGAAGAAGCTGATGTGTAGAAAGGGCTTAGCATAGTGTCTGGCCCCACAGTTAGCACTTGACAAATATTTGCTGTTTCTTTAAACAATGTCTGTGTTATTAGAGAAAGTAGAAATAGCTTCCACCTGTGATTTCCTCCCACGGGGCCTCCATTTTCCATTCTAGTCTCACAGGACAGTTCAGCTGCCCCTCTTCCCCATTGCAGCCCAGCAGGTGCGTGGAGTTCGCCTTGGCCCCTCGGGAGTTTCTCTGCCCTGGCCCAGTGGTTGCAAAATTGGTTTAAAAGATCACTATGGAGAGCGCCTGGGTGGCTCAGTCGGTTAAGCGTGGGACTCTTGATTTCAGCTCAGGGTCATGAGATCGAACCCTGCGTCGAGCTCCTCGCTGAGCGTGGAGTCTGCTTAAGATTCCCTCTCTCCCCCTCCCTGCCCCCCAGCTGCTCGCTCTGGAAAGCCAAATGATCTTTAACTTCTATTCCTTTTGTTTCCACCCTGAAACAGCACCGGCATTTTCAGGCTCACCAACGCTGGCATGCTCGAGGTTTCTGCTTGTAAAAAGAAGGGTTTCCATCCACACACCAAGGACCCCAGGCTGTTCAGTGTGAGTAGACTGCGCTGGCTATTTTTTTTTTTACAGATACTTATTCTTCACCTCTTCCTTTTTTCTTTTCTCCTTGAAGGAGAGAAACAGTAACAGTGTAATATGGGAAAAAACACTGAAGTGCTTAGTTTGGGGCTTTCTTATCCTGAAAATTAATCAAGCTTTGTAGTTACTTCTGATTTCTTTGCACGATCATTTTATTTACTAGAGAATACCAGTGTTTCTGTAGCCCAGCTGATTGTGCATAAAGTTACCTTTCCATTTCTAAATGTTTCTGTGTGATACTTAAGGAGATGCAGTTTTCCTCAGACTCCAAGTAAGCAGACAATGAAAGAAAATGATATTTAGTGTCTCGTGAATTCCTTCTGTCCGATGTGGCCAGGTTAATTTTTTCATAACAGTACACTGAAAACTGTAAGTATACTTCTTGATTAGCTAGTGTAGCCCCAGAGAAACACTATTTGACTACATTTTTTCTTTCTAACTGCTTGCCTGGTGGTTCTCTGGTGGTAACGTCAGAGAAACATTATTTTGAAGTTAGAATCTACGTAAAATGACAATTACTTGGCAACCTCTGTACATGTGTTTCGGTTGGAAATGAATAAATACGATTCTATTTGTTCTGATCGGAAACATTTTCAAAATTAGGAACGTTTTTAGGCTAAGAAATTCATATTCCCTTTCTGCAGAGAACCAGGGTAAACATTACGATGTAAAACCAATTTTTTTCTCACCTAGATATGCAAACATGTGTTGGTAAAAGACATAAAAATAACCATGCTGGATCTAAGGTGATGTGTTCCGAAGATTAGCACCGTCGACCCCAGACACCTACCCGTGGACGTGCGGTTGCGGATTTTCTTAAGACGTTTCCTGAAGTGACTGATATTTTGTATTTATACATTTTAGATCAGAAAGTTTGATATTTATTGTTCTTGCCCATTTTGAAGTTTCCTTTTCGGGTTGCTCTGTCTCCGGAGAAGTCACAGTTGGGTTACATCAATAGCTATGAATGCACCCAGATACTACAACCACACCATAAATAATGCTGCAAACAACAGTATGTCCGGTGTTTGTAGAGGTCTCCGCGCGTGTTTTCAGAGCTTCCCATGCTTCGCTGTATTTTTTTTCCCTCGTTCCTATTAAAGGTCATTCCAAACAAGAGATGCTGAGTACCAGGGGGTCTCCCAGACAGGCCGTCTATTTCTGCCACGCTTCCGTGTGGTCCAAAACGAGCAGTTTCCACGTGTGAGAAGAAACGTGGCTGTAGACGGTAGAGCCGTCTTGCGTCCAATGTCAAGCTCAGAGATACGTCTGCAGCGGATCCTAGTGGAGGATACCAGAATAGCGAGCTTCTACTCAGGGAAGGGTACCGGAGGGTTTGGGATTAGCAGACGATTCATTAACTTGACTGAGAGGACTAAAAGCAGAGACGCTTGAGAGAAGAATGAAAAAAGACTCAGATGAAAGTGTACAGCTTGTTCCCGTGAAAGTTAATAGGGGTGACGGGGAGAAGAAATGAAGTGTAAGAAGTAACTGATCGTTCTCAGCCTAAGAGAATAAGAAAATAATTTGGAAAGTGTGCTTGCAATTAAAAGCACCTACCTATAAATCAAGGCACAGGGAACTGGAAGAAAAATACCTTTAAGCTGAATAAGGTGACATAAATACAGCATTATGGTTTTACCGAGGCTTGGATTGGGATTTGTGACTGGTATCTAGATAATAAAAGCATTTACCTGGGTCAAAAGACAGTGATTAAATAGAAGGAAGGGGAGGTTTGTGGAGACAGAATGTGACTGTATTCAGAGGTAAAACGTTTAAAGGGGCAATTAAGGGGCGCCTGGGTGGCTCAGTCGTTAAGCGTCTTGCCTCCAGCTCAGGTCATGATCCCAGGGTCCTGGGATCGAAGCCCGCATCGGGCTCCCTGCTCCGCGGGAAGCCTGCTTCTCCCTCTCCCACTCCCCCTGCTTGTGTTCCCTCTCTCGCTGTGTCTCTCTCTGT